CCTGAGAACGAGTGGTCAGAGTCGTGGTCGGGGAGGTGGCCGGGGTGTTGACAGTGAGTGTGTAACAGACAGCACGTCTCTCCCGGGCATGTGGCCGCTCAGGGGGGCTGCCCGGAGGCAGCTGGAAGCGGGCCCCTGCTGTGGGACCTCGCTCCCGGGCACCGGCAGCCTGTTGGATTCGGGCGGGAGGTCAGGGGGCCTGCGCAGATGGCTGTGGGAGGACCCGGTGCAGCTTTAGCGGACTGATGGACTTTTGAGAAGCGCGTGGCATCGAGTGAACCAGAGGCGCCGTGCTGTGACGTCGGTGCCCGGGGGGGAAATGACGCTTCGTTTGGTCTGCGCAGCCGGGAGCAAGCCTGGAGCAGACGCACATCTTCGTGCTCGCACACATCCTCAGGCGCCCGATCATCGTGTACGGCGTCAAGTACTACAAGAGCTTCCGGGGCGAGACGCTGGGGTACACGCGGTTCCAAGGTGAGTGCCAGCGGGAGGCCTGCTCAGTGGTGAGCGCAGCGCGTCGCAGCCACATCCTCACACCGTGTGCCTCTCTCCCCAGGTGTGTATTTGCCTTTGTTGTGGGAACAGAGTTTTTGCTGGAAAAGTCCGATTGCTCTGGGCTACACGAGGGGCCACTTCTCTGCTCTGGTTGCCATGGAAAACGATGGCTATGGTACCCGCGGCGCTGGTGCTAACCTGAACACCGACGACGACGTCACCATCACCTTCCTGCCTCTGGTGGACAGCGAGAGGAAGCTGCTGCACGTGCACTTCCTGTCCGCCCAGGAGGTGAGCGCCCTGCCTCCCCGCCCAGTGCACGCCTTGTCAGTGGCGGTGATGGCCGTCTCTGGGCGCCGTCAGAGCTGCCCTCAGGCGTGCTGTGGGGCCGGCGTGGAGCGAGGACGGGAGCCCTGCCCTCCCTCGGGCGGGTGAGGGGACCAGGCAGTGCACGGACACGGGGCTTCCGGTGTAGGAAGGTGGTGGGGGAAGTGACCCCGAGTCGGGAGCGGGAGGAGCTGGGCAGGCGGGCGGTCAGCGTGGCCTGAGCCGCCTCTCGCAGGATCGCAGGATTGGTTCCGGAGACGGTGGCTGGGGCGTGTCACCGGGGTTTTCCCTCGCGGTGTCTGCATGTCCCCGCTGCTGCCTCCTGTGGCCACGGCGCTGGGCTTTCTTGGGAACGGGGGAGGCTGAAGCCACGTGCCTTTGGGCAGGGAACCAGCAGTCTGATCCGCGTTGTCTCCTCTCTCCCCTCCGCCCGGAAGCTGGGCAACGAGGAGCAGCAGGAGAGGCTGCTCCGTGAGTGGCTGGACTGCTGTGTGACCGAGGGCGGCGTGCTGGTGGCCATGCAGAAGAGCTCCCGGCGGCGCAGCCACCCCCTGGTCACGCACATGGTGGAGAAGTGGCTCGACCGCTACCGGCAGATCCGGCCTTGCACGTCCCTGTCGGACGGGGAGGAAGACGAAGACGACGAGGACGAGTGAGCAGCAGGGAGAGGAGACCAAGGTATCGCTCTGGTGACCCCAGCGAGTGCTGCTCCGGGCAGAGGCCTGGCCTGGGACCGAGCGGCCGCAGGACCCGCCAGGGGCTCTGACCACACCCAGCGGAGGTGGCGCGTCTGCGAGCGAGGACAGCTTCGCTCGGGCTGCGGCCTGTGACACCGTCTCATTCAGACAACTCTGCCTTCCGCCGTACCGTCTGTAACGTAGCGCATGTGGTGTGAGAACTCGTGTATAGGACAGTCATACCAGCATCCATGTCCCTGAGGAGTTTCAGCATGGGCACCTCCAAAGCACAGGCACATGACTTTGTTCCTTTGAGATGTTTTTAAGTAGAACCCGGCATCCTCTTTCCATCCTAAAAGATTGATTTACATCGAGCCTCACGAGCTCCCTAGAGATTGCAAACTTTTTGTACAAATTGTCCACAGCAAAACATTAAAATAAAACACTTATTTTATTAATAATTTAGTTCCTGTTGTGCCCAATAAAACCCGATCTTTAAGGAACAAACTACAAGGAAAGAATTTTTATTGAATGAACTCCATGTGGACGCTGCTCCCTTGTTTGGGTTCCTCTCGTACGTGTGCTGTTCGTTTTGCTCCTGTAGCTGACCTGCCTGTTCCGTGTTTGGTATTTATTTGTGTGGAGGGCGCCCTGGACCAGGGTGCTTCTGCCCGATGCCAGGCAGCCTCCCGGGAGCGGCTCTTCGGGACGCAGGCAGAGGCGCGCTCACACCTGCCCACCGGGTGCAGTGGACAGCGTGTGCTCGGCCCCCGTGGAGGCCCGGGTCCCGGTGTCTTGTACCATCAGCTCTGCTTGAAGCAAACTGTGTTAGAAGGCATGCCTTTGCCTCGCCCACGTGGGAACTCAGTTCAGTACAGAATAAAGATTTAAAACGCAGCAAGGTGGTCAGTGCATTGTCTTAATGAATTTTGCAGTGAGCAGTCTAGAGCCATTCTTATTTAAAGTTAAAATTATAATCTCAGGTAAGAAAGACTTCCTGTCAGGAGTATTTGACCATCAGGTTCCTCATCCAGAGGGGTCAGGATCTCAGACCGTCTCAGGCACAGACATGTCCTGACCAGTAGACGGTTGAAGTGGCAGAGAATTCAGAAAGCAGCCCCACACACACTTTCCTTCCTTTTGAAGAGGCTGTGAAAGCCTTAGGATATTTGCTTGTTTCCAAGTCCTGGTTATGATGCGTTAGGACGTGTGAAGCGCGAACCATAAAGCCAGGAGCATATCCTGGGCGGTGTGATGGGTGCTCCAGCTCTTTCCCCCGTGCCCAGGATGAAAGGATCCCTTCTGCATGCAGCAGGACTCCCCAGAAAGAGGTAACGTGCAATTGACCGTCACCCCACACAAGATGGCCACGCCCATGTGGACACAAGATGGCTGGCATGGGACGGCCCAGGGCTGCAAGGGAGGGCATTTGGGGGCGATCGGGTCAGCTGGCAGGGCAGTGGTTAGGGACAGGCAGGCAGGCAGGGGAGTGGTTGGGAGCCACAGTTCTGGATTGTGAGAGGGATTAGAGAGTGCAGGCTGGGCTGAGGGACACCCCCACCCCATGCACAAATTTCGTGCCTCTAGTGTTACAATGAAGGTGAATGCTGTTCCGAGTGGTCAACCTTTTCTACAAACGGACTTTTTGGTGGTTTTCACGTTGGTCAGTAATTGTTTTAGCAGCTGACACTGACTACTTAGCACTAACATCTCTAAAGCCCTTTGCACTCCGCTGTCCCCTCTCAGGGGACATTGCAGTTCATTAGTGATTACGGGGAATTGAGTTAATTCCACACACATTTCGCAAAGTAGCGTCGAGTAGCTGGTGGCCAGTGTCCAGAATGGTTCGGAGTGCAAAGGGCTAAACTCGCCCCAGGTGAGAAGGCTCCAGGGGGCAGTCCCGGGCACGGGTGCTCCCAGCGTACTGCCTTCCCAGTCACAGCAGAGCGCTGCTGGGGGTGAAAGCACAACATTTGCGGCCTCGCTGCCTGGAGTCCCCGGAGGAGCCAGCGTGCCGAGGGCCTGCCCACCTCTGCCGTCAGCAGCGCCCCTGCCTGGGAAGGACTGCCGTCCCAGGCCTGCGCTCCAGTGGCCTCCCAGCAGGCTGGCTGGAAATGCCAGAATTTTGGGGAGTCAGTACCATGTTCAGCTCTTCAACAGCCTATTGTTGTCCTGAGAGTGTGTTGTCTTTCCCTGAAGTGTGTGTGGCCGGGACGGCCGTGCGTGGGAGCCTGTGGGTGGGCTGGCTCTTATCCTGGGAGGACACAGGAGTGGTGTCGCTCTAATGAAAACGCAGGCCCCCGGTGCCCAGGCCCGGTCTGTGCAGGGAGTTCTGCCAGCCCAGTCCTGGCAGCCGGGCTCGCTCTGCCCTGCCCCCATCGCCTGCCTCTGCTGCCTGGGGTCCCAGGACTGACCGTGGGCTGCTGCTCCCAGACCTCTCGGCCCTTGTGGGACGGTTTCCAAAACGTGGCTGACCACGGAGGGAGGTGCTGGGGCTGCACCTGAAACCCCGAGGGAGGCAGCTGCTGCTTGCAGGGCAGGGGAGGGCGGGGGGCTGCAGGAGGGCCCGGCAGTGTGGGCGTGCGGGTGGTGGTTACGTCCTTCACAGAAGGAACGGCTGTGGTAACTGTTCTGCAATGTTTCTTTGTATAATGTGTTGTAAGAAGAGAATGTTGAGATTCACCTTCCTTCCTGTGTCAATGCTTGAGCCAGGTGATTTTGTTTTTAGGAAAATTAAAATCAAACTCTCAAACCTGACCAATTTTGTTTCTTGAGTTGACGTAGTTCTAACCCACTGTTTCATCCTAAGAACGGCGTGCCTGACACGAGGGCTTCTGAGGGGCTGTGCTTTCCATCACGCGCGCTCGCTCGCCCTCGGTCCCTGTCGGCCCCTGGCGTCTGTCGAAGGGCCTGGAACGTCTCGAGCAGAGGTTGCTGCCCGTGGACTTCAGAACAGAATTTTATCACTTTTTATTGAAAACCACCGAACGCTAAATGTCCACCTTTACAAGAAACAATACAGTAACATAACTCACACTAAAACAAAACATTTCTGATAGCCATTATTTTTCTGTTTGGGACAGTTTTAAAGGTTTTTGTCACAAAAACAGGAATGTACCTACACAAAGGCTCAAAATAGGCCATCTTTTAACAAAAAGGCAATGATTCACAAAAGACTATGAATATAACATGTAACTAGTTGATACAAATCTAATAGGATTTGTTAAAATCAGTCACATCTAATAACACACCTGAAGTGTTTTTGTATAAAATATCACGTGAAGAAAAGAAGGTTTTATCAATGTCTAAAAAAGTGGGTTTGTTCATAGACAATCTGACAAGTTACCATAAAAAGTGTTTCCTGAGACATAAGGAAATGCAACATTATTCTCCTTGAACCTTTCGGCTCAAGACTTTCCACTCAATAAAATAGCTGAGGATCTGAACTGAGAAAATATATTTGAGTACAAACAGCTTGTGAAACTTAATACTTTTTTTTTCTTTTTGCATCATTAGAGGGGTATTACGTAACTCACAACCACTCGCCCGCTCAGTATGCAGTTCGGGCGGGAGACTTCTGTCCAGGAGCGACCGTCTTCCGTCCGTGCGGGCAGCGAGCGGTCTGACCCAGGCAGACGGTTCCTCCCGGTTTCGCAGTAATGCAGTCTTCCTATTAGCAAAGAGGTGACCAGCCCCGAGGACCGAAGGGACGAGAGTCACAGGACGGGGATTGCCTCGCAATGTTTTTATTGGTGTTTGGAACTCCTGACGCAACAACCTTCTGTACAGCCAGGTGCCCGGGACCTGCGGTGCCCCAGGGGCTGGTAAAGGAAAAGGGTCTACTCTTTGTGATCGGATGCACAGATGAAGAACTTAACACACAGTAACAGAAGTTGGTCGTTAATCAGTCACGTCCTGTCTTTCCGGGCCTCCCTCCGCTGCCCGCGTCTCGGCTTCCAGCTCTTGTGGTGGTCACACTGGTGACAGTGCGGACGCCCGTTCCTCTCCTCTCAGCTCCTCTGTTGTCCACTGTCTCTTGGTCCCAGGCTGACCGTGGTCATCCTCTGCTATTGCTCGTTGGGGTGCTCCCGATTGTCCCCGTGCTTGGTGGGCTGGTTGGGAGAGGGGGCTTGGGAAGGGTGCGCCACGGTGGGCAGGTTGTGCGTCACAGGGATGCCTCCGGGGATGATGCCCTCCATGGCGGCAGGAAGCCCCCCCGGGGCCACGCCCACGATGCCCGGCGGGTATCTAAGGCGCACAGAGAAGGGCAGGTGAGTCCAGGACAGGAAATGCCACGCGCTGGGCTCCGCCCACTTCTGGTCTCTCTCGTGGGATGATTGATCAGCCTACCTACCCCTGAGCAAGGAGGAATCTGGGTAAAAACTCAAACACTGACTTAAGTCATGAGCAATAAACTTTTTAAAGTGGGGGCCAGATCACGGTCCCTCAGAGAGCTGGAGGGCCAGACTATATGAACTACTAATTCCTACTGTAACACCTCGGCTGCGCTCACTGCCCAAAAAACCTGGCGGGCCGGATCAGACTCCTTTGCGGGCCGCATATGGCCCGAGGGCCGTAGTTTGAAGATGCCTGGCTCTAATCCAAGCACGGTGTCCCCCACTCCTGTGTGTGGCTCTGCCCTCCACACGGGAATCCTGCATAGGACTTGACCCCCAGCAGGCAGCTGGAGTCCTCTCCACCTACATGTGGCCGCCTGGGCTGCTGGCCTGTGACAGGCAGAGCAGGGGCACATGCTGGCAGCATGCGCTGTGTGCAGACACGAGGCCTTGAGCCTCCAGAGCAGGGCGCAGGGTTCACACGCAGTGAGCCCGGCTCTAGGCTGGGCCCTGAGGCCTGGGCAGGGGGGGCAGGAGAAGATCCCTCCGCCCAGGTGCTGCGGTGCCCCGTCCTCCCGCAGGCTCACCTGTAAGTGGCACCGTTGAGCTCTGGATGGATTGCTTGCTGGTCTATTACTGACCAAGGAGCCGTTGTAACAAAGAATTCCTTGTTCACACAGTTCCTTAAGCTCTCGGGGATGCGGCCTGGAACGAGATGGTTACGTTCCTGAGGGCGAGGGGGTTAAACGTCAGACTTGGTAGGGCTTCCAGGGCCAATCTATGTGGTTTGAGCCGAGAGATCTGACAGCTCACCTCCCTCCAGGCAGGGGCCGGCCGCACCCTGAGCTCCAGCCCTGCGGCAGCCAGGACAGGAGCAGGGCCCCGTCCCTCTGGGAGGTAGTTGGGGATGCGCCCAAACGGCCCAGCCCACCCACTCCACCAGCCTGAGCGTGAGGTCTGCCCACAGTGACCCCGGCCGTGACCCCCGGGCGGGCTCACCCGTGATGGCGCGGCGGATCTCGGTGGCGGCGGCCTCCCGCATCTCCAGCGAGGCCTGTTCACTGTACCAGGCCGTGTGGGGCGTGCAGATGAGGTTCGGTGCATCTTTCAAGGGCCCCTGAGCAAAGCTGGAGAAGGCAGAGACGCCCTGAGGAGCTGGCCCCTCCCCGGTCGGCTCCCCCTGGGCGGGCAGGGAGGCTGGAGCAGCCACGACGCACAAACAGAAGGACCAGTGAGGCTGGCCCGTGAGCCGTGTCTACAGACCAAGCAAACCGCCCCGTCGGGAAAGGGGCCGGGGACTCGGCTGGGGGCCAGGCCCACCTGAAAGGCTCCGACTCGTGCACGTCCAGGGCTGCGCCTCGTATCCTGCCTTCCTTGAGGGCCTGGGCCAAGGCCTTCTCGTCCACCAGCCCGCCGCGGGCCGCGTTCACCAGGAAGGCGCCCTGCCGCATCTGGAGGAGGCAGAGTGTCAGCGGGAGGCAGGGCAGCGGGAGGCCGAGGGCGGGGGGTGTCTCCTGTCGGCTCCTGCTGATCCCGCCAGGGGCTCAGGCGGGACGCCTCCCGGGCTCCTGCCTGCCGCCTCGGGGACGCCCCTGCTCACTGGCCCAGCCCGGCCTGGCCCCTGGCTGAGGAGCCGCCGAGGGCACACCTGCTTGATGGTGAAGTCGTTGACCAGGTGGTGGTTGTGCTCGTTGAGGCTGCAGTGCAGGGACACGCAGTCGCTCTGGTACAGCAGGTCCTGCAGCGTGTAGACCCTCTGCACGCCCAGGGACCGCTCGGTCCCATCCTGCAAGTAGGGGTCGTAGAAGATGACGCTGAAGCCAAAGGCCTTGGCTCGAACGGCGACTGCCTGCCCCGTGCGACCTGCGGAGAGAGCGTCCGGGTGAGCGAGCCTGGCCTCCCAACAGCACGGACTGGCCTCCATGGCGGCCAGGGCGCAGCCAAGGAGTGAGCGTCGGCACAGGCTCACGTGCTGGCCAGGACCCACTGAGGCCCGTCCACTGAGTGGAGAACCAGCCAGTTCTCCAGAGCCACCTGCAGGGCAGCGGACCTGGCGCGCCAGCAGAGGGCGCTGTGGCTCAGCACGCCTGCCTTCCATCCTGCCTCCCAGGCCGAGTGGCCTGTGCACTGAGGGATCACAGGAGCCCCAGAGCGGACAGGTGTGCAGCCCTCCCACCCCACGGCCGCCCCGAGGCCTGACCCTCAGTCCCAGAGACAGCCTGAGCCTTCTGCCAGCCAGGCCGGCACTCACCGCCCGCGTGCGTCACTCACGCCCCGTCCCAGTCCCGAGAGGCAGAGCTGGCCTCACTGCCTCCCCAGCTTACAGACCGGGGACCAGGCGGAGGTCAGTAACCCTCAGGGTCACGGAGCCCCTCCCAAACGCTACGTGTGGCCAGCAGCCATGTCACCATGGACAACCGCTGACTGCGGCTGGGGCCTCCAGGCTCCGCCCCGCCCGCCCGCAGACCTACTGGGGCCCCGGGAACTGGCCGGCCCAGCGCCTTGCTGCTGCCCAGCCCTGCAGACAGCAGACTCCAGTCCCGGCCGCAGGGCCCTGCGCGTACCGAAGCCGATGAGGCCCAGCGTCTCCCCGCGGATGCGGGCTGCCCCCGAGGCCACCTCTCGGATCTGCTCCACGCTCTGCACCCGCGTGCCCTCCCGCAGCGCCTGGTACAGCCACGTGTTCCTCCGGTACAGGTTGAGGATGTGGCAGAGGGTGGAGTCGGCCGTCTCCTCCACGGCCGCCGACGGGATGTTGCACACGGCGATCCCTGGAGGAGGCAGGGCCTGGGGTGAGCGCCCCCCGCTCCCTGCCCACGTCAGAGTGGGGCTGGGGCCGGGGGCGCAGAGGCCAGTGAAGCAGCTTCTGAGGGCGCAGCCGCCCGGGCAGCATGGAGGCCTCGCATTGGGGACCACAGGCAGCACCTAGGGCTGAGGGCTGGGGCAGTGCATGGCAGCCATGGCTACAGGGTCAGGCCCAGCCTGCAGGGGGCAGAGGCCGAGGCCAGGACCCCGCTGGCAGTGCAGGATGCCCCGAGGCCACACCTCAGGGCCTCTCCGGGGGCCACAGGCCTGGGCTCAGCACCTGGCGCCCTCAGCAGCCGGCTGCTCCCTCAGCGCCTCGCCCTCCCCTGGGGAGGCCCAGACCCCTCGCGGCAGCGACCGGGAGGGGGCGCCTGGTGCACCTCTGCACCCGCAGGCCGTCCTCTGAGCCGCCCCCGGCCCCGGCCGGCGCTGCCGCCCACTCACCCAGCTCGCCGGCCGCCTTGATGTCCACGTTGTCGTAGCCGCTCCCTATCCGCACGATCACTCTCAGGGCCTTGAACTTCTCCAGGTCCTCCCGCGTGAGGGTGATGGTGTGGTACATCATGGCGCCCACGGCCTCGTTCAGCACCTGTGGGCACAGAGCTGCAGCCAGGGCCCCGGGTCCGACAGGCGGGGCACAAGGGCCGGACAGCTCCCCTGGCCGGGGCTGCTGGCCTCTGGCCACACGGGGTGGGCGGGGAGGGGAGGGGGGGGGAGGGGAGGAGCGGTGAGGGGGACAGCCAGGGCCCCGGGTCCGGCAGGCGGGGCACAAGGGCCGGACAGCTCCTGGCTACACGGGGTGGGTGGGAGGGGAGGGGCGGGGAGAGGCACAGCCAGGCCTGCGGGCTGGGTCCCACCTTCTCGTGGATCTCCTGCGTGGACTGCGCGTCGCAGAAGGCCACGGTGGCCAGGTCCTTGAGGATGGGCATCTCCACGGTGCAGTCGCGGCCGTCCAGCAGCGCCACCAGGGGCCGGGGGTGCAGGGGGCCGTTCATGATCTGGGGGCGGATACCTGGGGAGCGGCAGGGCTGGTGGGCGGAGGGGCGTCCCTCACCCCGTGGCAGCGACACGGGTCCGCCCCTCCCTCCGCCCGCCCCTCCCTCCGCCCGCGGGGCTGCAGGCCGCACAGCCAACAGGGCGGCGCTGGGACCGAGGGGCTGGACTGGAGAAGGCGGGATGCCGCCTGCTGGGCCTCGGGTGGGTCCAGGCTGGGCCCCGTGCCGGGACACCCTCACACGGAGCTGGCAGGAGCCACGGAGCGAAAGCCATGGCCTCGTGGAACTCGGGCCAAGGAATCCCAACAAGGCCACGCGCAGCTCCGTGGCGCCTCGCATCCCCGGCTCGTCACCGCACGGTCAGCCCCGTGGCCTCAGCCCGGCACCGAGCCCGGCACCGCGGCGGCCCCGGCAGCGCTGACCCCGCAGACAGACCCATCCTGGCCTCGGCGAAGGGCGGGGAGGGGCGGGCCCTCAAGCAGTCAGGGTCCCTCCCGCCAACTGCCTCCCCAGGACCCGGGCGCCCAGAGCAGACGCCCAGTGACGTGGCCCCCGCGTCCCTGCACCGGGCAGGACGGGGACCGCCGCCTCGAACCCCCCGGCTGGCCGTCCCGTCCCATGAGGCCCAGGTGTGCGTGTGAACGGGCGGGTCTCCCCAAGACAGGCCCTTAGACCCAGCCCTCTGGGGAGGGAAGAGGGAGCCGCCAGGTCACGCTGAACCTTCCATCTCCCTCACACCACGCCTCGGCCGCGAGGGGCCGGGCGGAGGGCAGGATGCGCCGGAGGAGGAGCTAAAGGGCGCCGCTGCCACCCCGCCTGCCGGCCAGTAGCTCCCTCCCACGTCTGCCAGGAATGGTGAGATGGCCACCCCCCAACCCTCCACGCTGCCCCGGGCCTCCCACAGGGTGAGAGCACGGACTGGACCCCACAGGAAGGAGGTCCATGGGACAAGGTTTGCAGAGTTCATGGCCATAAGAAACCCGAGTTGTTAGTTAAAACCCCGCGCCAGGAAAGGTGGGCACCAGGCAGGCGCCCGAGAGGCGGGGCCGTCACCACCAGATGCCCGTCCACAGCATCAGAGCAGCATCTCGCTACCCAGGAAACAAGGCCAGGTTGCCTAGCAATCACCTCCCTCGGCCTTGGCTCCCCTCTCTGGTGAAACTGGCCCGGTGAGCAGAGCAGAAGGCAGCGGGCTGGGCCAGGAGGTGGCGTCCGGCCTCAGCCCAGCCCAAGACCTGGCGGAGCCGCAGGGCTGAGGGGTACCGCTCAGCGGGCTGGGCGGGGGACCCTGGAGGGAGTGGGAGGTCTGGGGAGCCCAGGGGGGCTGCTGCTGAGGAACGGCCTGAGCCCCGGGGCCAAGCAGCAGCTCAAGTGGAGGGCCCAGGGCACCCGGGCACCACCCGCCTGGTCCCGGACGTGAGTGTCCCCCCCCCCGGGGGGGGGCACGCCTCGTCATCAGGTCTGTAAACACGGCAGCAAGGAGACCGCGGAGACCAGCAGCTGGGGCTGGCTGCAGGGGGGGTGCCCGCAGGGGGGGTGCTGCGGGGGGGGGGGGTCGCCTTTCCGTCGTCAGGGGTTTGGGGGAAATGCACGGCAGGTGCTCAGTGAGCCACCACAGCGAGGTTTGTAATAAAAGGCAAGGCTGCCAGTTCCAGACACTGCTCCCCCCGAGCGCCAGGCCCAGCGAGAATCCCACTGTCATTCTCACCCCGTCCACAGCCAGGCTGGGTGTGGCCGCCTTTGGGCTGTCCCCCATCCCAGAGCCAGCCCCCCGAAACCAGCCCCAGACAAAGGGCAAAGCAAAGACCCGCTGTGAAGTGAGGCTGATGGAAGGAGCCAGGCCCCATGGCCCCATGGCCCCACGGCAGGAGGCAGGAGACAATCGGGAAAAAGTGATCGGTGTGACCCCCCCTCCCCCCGGACAGGACCTGGGGGCCGGCGGGGCGCCAGGCGCAGGGGGAGCAGAGGGAGGCCCCGAGGACAAGGAGCCGGAGCCACAGGAGCGAGCGGAGCTGTGCTTCCCTGGTGCGGCCGAGGGGTTCCTGTTCCCTGGGAAAGGCCGGGCTGTCTGACCGGAGTCAGTGTCAGCCTGCGAGGGCCGAGCGGCGGCGCCACCCCCGGGGGCGGGTCCGAAAAGGAGAGGACCCTCCTCAGGCGCGTCCCCGTGACCGGATGGGGTCCGAGCTGCACCCCATGAAGCCGGCGGCCCAGAGAAGCGGCAGAGGAAGGCGAGGCCGAGAGTGGGCCCTGCAGCCTGTGCTCGGCTCTTTTGGGGCAAAAAGTGAAAATGGCGCAGCGCTGCCCTCTGCCCGGCGCCGGCACACAGCCCGGCCACACCCGGACCGGGAGGGGCATGGCGGTGACAGCGGCCGCGGAAGGGCCTGGGCGGGGCCGCCCAGTGTCACTCACAGGCCCTCCGCCCCTGGCCGCCAGGTGGACAGCACACGGGGGCCAGCCAGGACGGAGGGGGTCAGGGCAAACGGACACGTGGAAACATCCAAACGTGGACAACAGCCAGGCGGAACCCAGCTGCCCCGCCCCCCGGACGAGAAGGGGAAGGGGAGCCAGGCGGAGCCCGAGATGAAGCATTCCGCATGCCGGCCGAGACCCAATGGCTGAGGTAGCCACGTTTAGACTCAAAGACCCCCGTCTCCATCCGCTCAGGCCCTGAGGGGGTGGGGCCCTGTGAGGCCCAGTGTCCGCCCTGAGGCCTGGGTGCTGCCCCTCAGGAGGGACAGATTCCAACACCCCCCCTGGCTGAGCCCACGCCTGCCCACACCTGGTGCAGGTCAGCCCTGGGGAGGCCGAGCCGGCACAGGCCACAGGGAGGGCCGGGCAGAGGAAACGGACGGGAAGGGGGGCAGGCGGGAGGCAGGTCCTCGGCAGCCAGCCTCCCAGGACTTCACGGAGGAGATAATCTTTCCGTGATTATGACCAACCCTCCCGTTGCTTAGCAACACATAATTAAGGAATATGTTTTCAGATCCGCTTTGCAAGCCCAGCCATTATCAGATGAAATTACTGGAGCAACAAATGTCATCGCCATGCAAATCAGCTGCTGCGAGGGAGAATGGCGAGCGGAGGGGGGGGTTCCTGTTTTTAACAAAAGGCACGTAAACTGCTCAGACTTCAGAATAAACCCTTCCGTGAGACAAACACCAGAACCTGCAGACAGGAGACCAGCCGGGCCCCGCAGCGTCCCAGCCGGCCAGCCGGCCAGCGTGCCCCCCCTGCCCCCCGGCACCTCCTGCGCCCGCCTCTCCCGCTTCCCAAACGGAGCTGCGGGCGGCACCCCTCGCCAGGCTCCTGCCCGACCAGCCCCTGAGGTGTTTCCCACGGCGGCGCACATCCTGGCCAGCGAGCGACACGGTCTTTGGGTGCTGGACAGCACCCCGCCTTCTCCAGAGCCCCCTTCTCACAGCACCCCGCCTTCTCCAGAGCCCCCTTCTCACAGCACCCCGCCTTCTCCAGAGCCCCCTTCTCACAGCACCCCGCCTTCTCCAGAGCCCCCTTCTCACAGCACCCCGCCTTCTCCAGAGCCCCCTTCTCACAGCACCCCGCCTTCTCCAGAGCCCCCTTCTCACAGCACCCCGCCTTCTCCAGAGCCCCCTTCTCACAGCACCCCGCCTTCTCCAGAGCCCCCTTCTCACAGCACCCTGCCTTCTTCAGAGCCTCCCCCTCCCCCCAAGAACTGGCGGCTGCGTCTGTTCCGAACGATTTCCCAGTTTCTCCCAGACACACGGCCGTTTCAGCGCCCAAAAGGAAAAGCCACTGACCGCCCTGAGCTGCCCCGGAGCGGAGTGTGTGTGTGTGTGTGTCCCTGGGCCCAGCGCCCTGTGGGTGTGTGTGAGAGCGTGTGTGGTGTGTGTGTGAGGATGTGCATGGTGTGTGTGGTGTCTGTGAGAGCGCACGGTGTGTGTGTGTGTGTAACAGTGTGTGGGTGTGTGTGAGCGTGTGGGTGTGTGAGAGCATGTGGTGTGTATGTGAGCGTGTGGGGGTGTGTGTCCTCCCGAGCTCAGCCTGAGAGCACAGAAGCCAGGACCCCCGTGGACCTCCGCCCTCCTGTCCCCGGGCCCCTGGGGGAGGAGGGGGGCGTTACTTGGTTCCGGGGCGAGCATGGTGGACACGATGATGGGCGCCCCGGTCCGCCGGGCCACCTTCTGGTAGGGCGCGTGCGGCGTGTGCAGGCTCGGGCCGGCCGGCTCCCCGGGGGCCGGGGGCTTCCGCAGGGGCTGGGCGCCGGGCAGGGGCGCGGTGTGCAGGCTCCGCTCCCGCTTGAGCAGCTCCATGGGCACCGTGTACGCCGTGGAGTAGGCCGTCCGCGCCGGGGGCGGGTATGCGGGGCCCGGCCGCGCCGTCAGGGCGCAGGGCGCGGGGCAGCCGTACCCGGAGTCGGCGGGGAAGTGGGGGGCCGGGCAGGCGGCCGTGTCCAGGAGGTGCTGGGAGGGCGCGCTGGAGGGCCGGCGCGCGGGGTCCCCGCGGGGGGCGGCCTGCAGGGGGCCCAGGGGCTGGGGCTGCGGGTCGCCGAGCAGCTCCGCGCGGTGGCCGAAGCTGCCGGAGCGGGTGCGGGGCGCGGGGCCGCCCGGGCCCTGCCTGCGCAGCTGCATCTCGGTCCGGCAGTGGCCGGCCAGGCGGCTGAGCACGCGGGCCTGGCCCAGGTTGGGGGCCACGCACTTGATGTCGGCCTCCTCCAGCGAGGCCAGCACGGCCGGGCAGTCGAAGCCCTGCTGCAGCAGAGCCCCCAGCGTGGCCTCCGCCAGGCCCTCGGCCCGCAGCAGCGCCAGGAACTCGGGCGGCGCCCGCCGGCCCGGCCCCGGGAGGCTCAGGTCCGCCTCGCCGCTCTCGCGGGCCGGCCTGTGGGCGCCGCCCGGGCCCCCGTTGGGGGCGGCCCCGGCGGGGTCCACGACCAGGCAGGTGGGGGCCGCCTGCCGGGCGGGGGCCGGGTCCTCGTAGGCCTGGCCGGCGGCGTAGGCGGCCGGCTCCCCGGCGTAGCGGGCGGGCGGCCCCAGCGCCGTCGCTTTACCTGCGGGGTCCCGGTACGGGGGCGCCATGTCCGGGGGGGCCCCCCGGCCGGGCACGAGCTCCCAGGCCACGCGGCCGCCGTAGCCGGGCAGCGGCCGGGGCCCGGGGTCCCGGGGCGGCAGGCGCGCGGCCAGCACGGCCTGGCGGCTGCCGTAGAAGGCGAAGTCGGGCGCCGAGCCCTTCCTGCCGGCCACGGCGCTGTAGAAGGCCTCCTGGCACAGGTCGGGCGCCGCCTCATGCCAGGGCCCCCCGTCCGGCAGCGCGCTCCGGCCCGCCGCCTCGGCCGCCTCCCAGGGGCTCTCGCCCCAGCCGGCGGCATCCCAGCTCTGCGACCGCCCCACCCCGACGGGCCTGCTGGGCACCGGCATGGGCGGACGGGGCTGCGGGGGGCTGCACGCACAGGTCTCCAGCCGCACACATCCAGCCGCCGCGGTGCCGAGCGGAGCGGGCAGAGCACCGCGGGTGTCCTATTGCCGAGGACGCCTCAATTATTAATCCCGGAACCCGAGAGGGCGCCGCCTCCCGCCCCCAGCCCCGCCCGGCTCCCGGGCCCTGCCGCCCGGGGATTAGGAGCTAAATAAAGCCCGGGCTTCTGTCCTGCTCACCAGACGGGACGCCGCCGGCTCCCCTCCCTGGCCTCCCCAGGGTGCTCTCTGGAGGGCACCCCCCCTCCCCTCCCCCCTCCCAAACGGCCGGCCCCCCCTGCCTCCGACCCCCCACAAGGGACAGAGGGGAGAGGAAAAGACGCTTTAATGTGGGTCCAATTCTAATCCGATGAAATGTTAATCCACTGCGCACGGCTCAGAACAGATTAACCGGGAGCAGGCAGGCTGGTGGGTAAAAAGGCCCGGTTCCTGCGGTTCTAGAAGGAGGCGCCGGCACGGCCGTCTGCACCGACGCCTCACCCACAGGGACCTCTGGTCCGAGTGCCTCCGCAGCGGCCAATCCAGAGCTGGAATCCAGTGAACCAGAGCCTGGGCTGTCTCGCCAGGACTAGCTCCGGCCGCTGTGCAGCAAAACTGGAGGCTCTCTTTAGAAAATATTTTTATTCACATCAGAGAGGAAAGGAGCCTGCAACCCGGGCCTGGTTCATAGGTCAACGTTCAACCACTGAGCCACGCTGGCCAAGCCGCACAAAAAACCCTTTTTGATGGAGAAACAGTGCAGGTCTCTGAGGCAGAAGGGGGCAGACCGTTTCCGGGAACCGGGAGACAGTGCGGAGGGCAGCGCCTGCTGTCCCCTGAGCGGTCAGTGTGGATGCCCCTTCGGGACAAACCTGCTTGTCAGCACTGTCCCTGGAGCCGGGCTCGGGACCTGTCCGCTGGGGGCAATGGCCTGCCTGTTTGGGGACGCAGCTCCCTTCCTCTCTGTTGTCAATAAAAGTATTTTTCTGAAGAGCAGCCTTTGGGTTTTGCTCCATAGCAGTCTGTTATTGCCCCAACCCTCTCCCACCCTCCCCGCTGAGGCCGTGGGCAGAGGGAGCAGCCCCTAACCCTGTGCTGGCCCCACCCCGGCTGGAGGCCCGCCCTCCTCAGGACAGGATGTTCCCGCCCACAGCCCACTCCGCTCCCTGCACAGCCGGCAGCGGTCAGCAAGCTCATTGTCAGCAGAGCCGAATAGCAACAGCACAGTGACTGACATTTCTTCTGAGAGCCAACTTTTTAAACTTAAACTTCTTCAAACGCCACTTCTATAAAACAGACTCCCAGGCCATGGTGTTCTGTGGAAGAGCCACACTCAAGGGGCCAAAGAGCCGCAGTTCGCTGACCACGGCCTTAGAAGACACAGTGCAAAGGCAGGCACACGTAACAGAAGCCGCCGAATGGGGACAGCGTGCTCCGGTTACCGAGACCTCCCGGGCTCCCGCGGGCCCCGCCAGCGGGCTTGTCTCCGGGCCTGGCTCACAGCCGCCTCCCTCCCTCCCTCCCTCCCCGCCCGAGGCTGCAGACACGGCGGCTTCCCTGGTGACACCACAGGAAGAGCACGCACAAGGCGGGGCCGCGCGGAGGCAGCATCCGTCAGGACAGGCCTTTGCCCGAGAAACAGCCCACATCTCCTCCCCGCCCCGTCTCAGACGGTACGCGGCCCCCGGGGGAGTCCGCCCCCCGCCCCTGCCAGTGAACCCGGCCGCGGAGTGACCCCGGACGGGCGGGCGTCTCTGGCACCAGGCCTGTCACGGGGACCGAACGTTACGGCTTCACCTGCTGGACGTGCAGGCCCAGGCCCTGGTGCAGGCGTTCTGTTCCCACAGGGCGCGCCAGGGGCTGTGACTGTCACACCGAGACGCTGGGCTGGGCGGAGTGGGGCCGGTGGAGCTCAGGGCGGGGGACCAGGCCCCAGAGCCAGCACTCCCGGACCAGAACTCAGCGCCTGGGCTGTCTGCTGGGCAGGAGCACCTCTGCCCCTTCAGAAATCCCCAAACCCCCAAGCGTCCCCAACTCTGTCACTGACAAAAGTAGCTATTTGAGTGTCAGATTAGCCGCTAAGAGACCACCTCTCAACCCCCCAACTCAAAACGGGGAGCCGGGGGCTCCGCCAGGGCAGGACCCGGCCTCTAGCCGAGGGCCGCTGCCCGGCTAAGCCGCAGTGTCAGTGCGCCTGCTGGCTCCTTCTCCGCCCGTCAGGTAATGCCAAAACCCAACAGCAGGTGGCGACCGTGCCCCACTCTGGCAGACAAGCTGCGGAGGCCCCGGTTCGGTCCCCACTGAGATGGCGCGGCTCCTGTGGTGGGTGCAAACCCCGGGCGGACCCTGCTGCTCAGCACCGCGGCCTGTGAGCAGCGGAGGTTCCGGAAAGGACCGTCTTTCTGAGAACTCCTGTGGACGACGGGCCAATTCCGAAAGAGGAACGAGCCCCCAGACTTGGCTTCTGAGTCCGAGGACCCGGCTCCCGTGGCTAACGGCCCCGCCCCGAACGGTGTCTCCACTTCCCGGTCCTCCTCCACCAGGCCTAGGGCCAAGGGGCCCAGCAGCCGGGCCGGGCGATGCTGAGGTCAGAGGGCCTCACGGCTCCGGAGTCCCACTTCCCACTTTCTGCTGAGCCCAGACGGCTGGTTTGTTCCTGCCACGTGTCTCAGAGCTTGTGTTTACACAGCTTCTGCCTTTAAGCTGTCCTTCCTCTGCCCCAGAAAACCTGCTCGGGAGGTGGGACACCCTCCTAGGTGCCTGGGCACGGGGAGCCCCGGGGGGTGGGGGCGAGAGCAGCAGCGGCACCCTCCCAGGCCTCGGAGTGGACGCGGGGGAGTGGGCGAGGGCGGTGTGGACATGCTGCTCTTAGAATCGGCGACTTTAAACAACCCTGCCGAGTGCGGTCGGAGCCCAACAGCGCATGGACAAGAGCGGAGAGAAGCTGAAGCCTGCACGTCACAGACACTAAGCAACAGAACTAGTAAAACATTCAACCTGGTTCTCTCCTGCAGAAGGCGAGGCCTGCGCCTCCAAACTGACGTAACCCAGAACGGTGGCCAGTGGCCCGGGAGGAAGGCACGCATGTCCCTCCTCGCAGACTGCCACGAAGCTTCGCCGTGGCTGCCCTCCTCTGCCGCCCTCCATCGCTGACATAGGGCTCGGTTCCAGCATCATCGACATTGTCTAGCTGACTGTTGTATATTTACACAGCTAAGGTAATCAGCACTAATCACGTAATTACTGGAAATGTGGGTAATTGTCTGATCAAAACATATAATTATAATGTATAGCAACATTATGAATCCCATTTTAAATATCCACATTTTGGAACTATTTGTAGATATTTATTACAAATGATTGTGGACTACCTATAGACAGCCAGCTTCAACACTTTTTTTTTTAAAATTCTCACCTGAGGATGTTTTTCCAACTAGTTTTTAGAGAGGGGAAGGGAGCGAGAGAATGAGAAAGAGGGGGTGGGGGAAAGAGGGGGGAGGCAGATAGTCATTAATTGGTTGCTTCCCACAGGTGCCCAGAATGGGGACCAAACCTGTAGCTTAGGTTCCTGCCTTTGACTGGGAATCGAACCCAAGACTCTTTGGTGGTCGGCCGACTTGCCAACTCTGATGGCGAGCCCGCCCGTCATGCCAGCGAACACCCAGAGGGAAACCAAAGCCTCGGGTCCTGAGCAGCCGCCCGCAGGCCCTGCTCGCCCTCTCGATGGCTGGGGATCAGGCACCGCAATCAAGCCGAGATCAAGGACACGTGCAGACAGAGGGCTGCTTACAGCAATCCCCGCCGGGCCTGCCGGTCGCTCACAGACCGTGTTCCAGCTGCCGGGATGGAGGCCACGCCGGGAGCAGGGGGCCTCTGCGCTGGGCAGACCCCCGCCGCTCCCCCTGCACTCATTCAGCTCATGTTCCGACCACGGTTCAGAAGTTTCGGCGTGCTGCCACTCGGCAGAACGCGGCTCTGGATGCCTCCAACCCCCCCCCCCCCCCCCCCGGCTGGGGCCACGTCTACTCAGAGAACACGTCTGCATGGGCAACCGGTGGATATGCACTCCTGTCTGCGTCAGGGGCAGACCAGGTGGGAGCACTGGCTGAGCCAGCCTGGTACCCGGGGGGAGGGGGGGGCCCGGCTAGGCCTGGATTCCCCGCCCCCCCAGGAGAGGGCGCTGCTCCTCAGCCTTGTCAGTGCAGACACCATTCCCGTTAGATGTTGATTGGGTTTGTTTTCCTCTCACGGCGGACGCACTCGCACATCCTCAGAGAGCAGGGGCGCGCACACCAGGGCAGCCCGGCTCCTGGGATCCATGTGCCATTCATCCTTGCAAACGTCTTAATTCGAAACAGGGCGAACCGGAAACCTCAGGAAGTAAGGAAGATGGCTCTAACATCCAGGTCTTTCATATGCAAATGACCCAGGGCGTGGAAAAAGGGGCCCTGAGGCCTCCTTCCCCCAGCTTCCTCCCCGCCCGCCCGCCCGCCCGCCCGGAGGCCGGCCTGCTGACCACAGGCCAAGCTGGAGGTGCTGAGGGCGGAGGCGCTGGGGCTGTGCGCACCGTCTGGCCAGGGAACCAGCTCCGGAGAGAGCTGAGCCCGGTGACGGTCCCGATGGAGGCAGCACCGCGGCCTTTGGCGGAAGCCACCCAGCACGCTGGCTCTTACCTTCGCAAATCCTGTCCAATCGCTGGCGCTTGACTTTGTGCTTATCCACAAGGGCCATTCTTTAGCGGACTTTGCAACTCTGATTCAAGGCCAGCGGTCCTCTAAGGCTTAGGGGGACGGGCAGGAGACTGCGGGCATGACGCCGCTGTGGACCTGCAACAAGGAGAAAAGAGCCTTACTCCCCCGGCCTCTTCTGTTAGCTCCAGGCTGCAAACAGCAACGCGCCGCTGACCTGCAGCGCGATGACCTGTCCTCACCGCCAGAGCCGAGCACAGCCCGCGGACCTGTCCGCTGTGTGTGCGACCC